CAAAGCAGAGGATGGAGAGGCCCCTGAAAATGGGTTTTCCACTTTCACCAGCATTACGTGGGTAGACCAGATAGCTGAGTCAGGGTGTGCAGAGCTGGCCAGGCTGAAACCCACCCTTGGTTACTAACAGCGTGATGCGTCAGTACTTTCCTTTCCCCCCTCAGGCTCCTTTTACATATGAAACTTGTCTTTTTTGGCTAAAGAATACATCAACTGCTTTGGAGTCCATTGTTAATAATAGTAATAAGACAGGTCCTCCAACCAAGTAAAAAGAAATTAATTTCTTTCCATTTCACATTTGCACTAGGGTGGAGGTGATGCGGTTGTCACTCATCTGGAAGGAATTCGAGAGGTAATTACAAAAGGCAGAACTGTGAGCACAAGGAGCTGTAGCTACAGGTTTGGGGTATGGGGTGATGGCAAAGGGGGGCCCCCACCCTGCTCTGTTGATGAAACACAGGGTTTCCAGGTAGCTCCTGGGGGAGTGTCTCCCATGCGCCCTGCAGCTCCAGGCATGTAATGAATTTGCTGCTCTGATGCAGATAGCTTGCTCTGATACAGACTTTCTCCTCCATCAAAGGATAATGCTTGTGCTCACTCAAGCTGCTCTGTAGTTCTTCCTCTTAACCAGACAAAGGGAGCTGTGTTTGGGCAGGTCCCCTCGTGTGAGAACCCCCGTGACGTAGCAGAGGACCTCTGAAAGGTTGAGCAGGCTCCAGGTCCTTTTCCTTCCCTTCTCCTCCTCATTTCTTCCTCCCAGGCTCAGCAAAGAGGGCACGCAGCAGCAGGTGCAAGCCCCAGACCAAGGGGCAGGAGGTCCTTTTCCACCATGCTATAAACCTGGGAGTAAAGTTTTGGCTGAGTTTGGTCCTGGCATTATGCTGATACCAAGGCAATAACTCTCCTTTGAGATTAGGAAAGTGAGTTCTGACTCTGTGAGGGCAATAAAGGCAGCTCCAGCCCCTTGAGTGAGAAATCTGAGCCATTTTCTGCACTCAGACACTGAACAGAGGATACTTCCAACAGCTCTTCCTCACCTCCTCTCCATCTCTCTGCACTGCTGCTCCTCTCCAGCATCCACCTTCATCTGATGATGGATGATGCCCTTTCTCAGACAAGGCTGGAGGTTTTGGAAGTGCCTCTGTGTGTTTTGTTTTCACAAATACATCCATTTGTAAAAGAAGAGCGTGTCTTACTAACCTGCGTTGGTTCACCTGTGCTACCTAATCTCAGCTTAATTATCAGTAAAGCCAAGGCTGTAATTTAGGTTAATTGCTTAAATTAAAGCCTTTGGGTTAAACTTGGGCTGCTAACCTAAATTCAAACCCTACTCATTTTGACCGTAATTTACTATTTCATCCAAAGTTAATGAAGCCTTGCTGGTCACCTGAGCTTTTTCCATGGGGGACCACGGGACTCCATGTGCTCCCCACATGGATGTGCTGTGGGGATGGGCACCTCTGGGAGACCTCCTGAGCAGGAGCCCCGTGTCCCTGAATCTCATTTCCTGAAGGGATGAATTAGGATGAACTCCTCAGAAGCTTTCCCATAGGTGTTGCCCCGCGATGGGTGTTGCAGCCCTTTGAGCCTGTTCCCAGCAGTATCTGGAGGCCAGTCAGCTATAACTACCGATGGCTTTGAAGTGTAGGTGTGACCTGCTTTCTCCAGATAATTGTTTTCTGGGCTAGCAGGGAGACACTGATGCAGCCCAGGGATTTGGAATAACTTTGCCTTCATTACTGCTGTTGTTGCCAGATGCTTTATACAGAGCAGGGAGGTCTCCTTTCCCCTCATGGCTTGTTGCACCTCGAAAGAGCCGCTGACCATAGGTGGGTATGAGCTGATACCTCCTTTTTCCTATCCTGCTGGCAGCACTGGTGCTTATTTGGTGGTACCCAAAGAAAGCCAAATGTCCCAAATTGCATTGCAATGCTTTCTGAGCCTATCTTTATCACCTTTAATCCCTACCCTTTAACTCCTTGAAGCCCTGAACAGGGCTGCTGGGGCTGTGATCTCCACTAAGCTTCACATGGAAACCAAGATCTTTCAGCACTGAAGGTTGTTGCAGCAGAGCATCTGTAGCATCATTAGTGATTTAGTTAACGATATGTAGCAGCATTAACGGTTAGACTTGATGATCTTAAAGGTCTTTTCCAACCTATTTGATTCTATAATTCTATCTCCTGCTTTCTCCCTGCCCCAGGGTACATCTTTTATCCCGGTAAGGAAAACCAAGCCCTGGAAGTGGTGCTGCTGGGAAGTCTCATTTCTTCTTGACCAGCTCTGTGCCTGCACATGGCTTCATCCTGCACCAAGTGCTGCTCCTGGTTCGAGTTTCCTTGTGAAGAGCTATAGCACCTGTGTGAAGTGTAACATCTCCCTGTTAAACCGAATCTGCTCAATGCTGTTCTCAGAGTCGGTAAGATAAACAAGGATAATTCATGTGTCCCAGGAGGTGTATCCAGTCGTAGAACTGTGGAATGGTTTGGGGTTGAAGGGACCTTAAGATTCACCCATTCCAACCCCCTGCCACTGGCAGGGACCCCTTCCACTGGAGCAGGGTGCTCCAAGCCCCTGTGTCCAACCTGGCCTTGAGCTCTGCCAGGGATGGGGCAGCCACAGCTTCTCTGGGCACCCTGTGCCAGCGCCTCAGCACCCTCACAGGGAAGAGCTTCTGCCCCAGAGCTCATCTCAGTCTCCCCTCTGGCAGGTTCAAGCCATTCCCCTTGGCCTGTCCCTACAGGCCCTCGTCCAAAGCCCCTCTCCAGGTTTCTTGTAAGCCCCCAGCTTTACAAAGCCGTAATTTCCTTGCCCCTTCCCATGTGCTGGAGGGGACGATCATGGGGTGAGCCCCACTCCAGCCCCACCATGGGACCATCAGGGCTTCAAGCCCTTGCAGAGCAGCTCCGTGCCTTTCTCTTGCTCTGGGCCCCCACCTGCTGGAGACACCAAGGTGGATTGTCCGGTGCTTGCACACCTCTGGGGATGGATGGGTCCCGTTGACTCAGGAGCTCAGGCGTTTCCATGTGGGAAGAGCTCCGGCATGCCGAGTGCGAGGTGCTTTTGCCTTGCAGATATGCTGATGTCCCCCTCTCCTCTCGCTCCTTCGGGGTCCTACATGGGTGCATATGGAGTTTGAAGGGAATGAGGGGTAGGTTGGTGGATACCAACCAGTCTCCTTTTAGGATCAGCATCCCCAGTGGGCTGCAGGCTCTTTCTCATCTGCTCCCCTTCCTGCCCTGGCCCCTTTCCTCACTCGTGGTTCATGCTCCAGCTCCTGCCTCCATTGAGTTCCCACCTCCCGCCTCCACTGAGTTCCCACCTCCCACTGTGCTTCCTGGTCACTGCTGCCAAAACCCTAGAGCCTCACAGGGAGCAGGAGCAGGGGGATGCCCACGGAGCCACAGGAGAGAGCCCAGGAACATCACGGGAGCCTGGCTGGAGCCCTCCATCCAGGGAGGTCATTGTAGCCTCCCCAGGGGGGCTGGATGGGGATTGGGAACCCAAGTGCTGGGGGCGCCTTGGAAGGCCTCAGGTTCATACAAAATGAAGCTCAGGCCCCAGAACATCCTCTATTGAGGAGCAGCCATGATACCTAGTGAGGCACAGGGTGGCTGCCCCATCCCTGGCAGTGTTCAAGGCCAGGTTGGACACAGGGGCTCGGAGCACCCTGCTCCAGTGGAAGGGGTCCCTGCCCGTGGCAGGGGTTGGAACTGGATGAGCTTTAAGGTCCTTTCCAACCCAAACCATTCCATGATTCAATGCTCCACATGTGCCAACTCAGGAATCCCAGCTGAACCTTTGGTGATTTCATTCCTTTCCCCACTCCCCTGTGCTCTCTCCCTCCTGCAGAAAAGGCAGCTTTGCAGTTAACCACCACAGTGGGATTCATCCAGCTTTTGGCTCAGCCTTGGGGCAGCTTTTCCTCCCTGTCCCTCAGTCCTTCATCCATCCACCCTCCTTTCCACCCTCCTTTCCACCCTCCTTTCCACCCTCCATTCCACCCTCCATTCCACCCTCCTTTCCATCCTCCTTTCCATCCTCCTTTCCATCCTCCTTTCCACCCTCCTTTCCACCCTCCTTTCCATCCTCCTTTCCACCCTCCTTTCCATCCTCCTTTCCACCCTCCTTTCCACCCTCCTTTCCACCCTCCTTTCCACCCTCCTTTCCACCCTGTCCCGCAGCCTGAGTCCCAAAACTGAGTTTTGTTTCCTCAGGACAAGGCTCCTTTCTCATGAACTGCCCACAGAGAATCCCCACTGTGCCTGGGGCACACGGGAATACCCAGAGCAGAAGAAAAGCCAAAAAGCATCAGATTTTAAAAATGACAAATGCTCTTTATTGGACCATACAGTATGGTAGGCGTGGAAGTGAAGAGGCGGTAGCCATGAGGACAAGGGATTAGGAATCAGTGTCAGGAATCATTCATACACACAGAAAGCAATAACCTTTCCCACAGGTGCCTGAGAAAACAGAAGGGGCTGGAAAAAATACCTTTAGTTGCAGACAAAACATTTGGAGGTTGTAACGTGGGTTGTGGACAGAGGCTTTCAGAGCATCTGAGAGCTGTTTGCATTGCTGGGGACCCAGGACTGAGGATTCACGAGGCTGTCGCTCTTGTTTTAGGATGAGTGAAACGAAGTTGCGTAGCCAAACACGGTTGTCCCCATTCAGCAGAGTGCTTCCACTTTGCTTTAAATGTGACTCCAGAGGGAGAACAGGGGAAGAACAAGGACTGTGCTGAAAGAGGGCCACCATGGCTCCCCAAAGCCCTGTCGGTGACCAGTTACAACCTATGCCTTAGCCAAAGATGCTCCAGATTCTCGTGGTTGGGATTCTGGTCTCCCCCCCACTGCCCTGAAGGTGGAGGGATGAGGACGGAGGAAGGAGAGGGTCTAGCGTAGCTATTTACACCATCGATCCATAGGGCAGCACTTGCTTTCCGAAGGCAGGAAACACGTCGTCGTCGTCCGCGGAGGGGGTTCCTGTGCTCAGCATCCTTATCTGATGGTCTTTTTGCTAGTGGTGGTCTTGGAAACGATCCTCACGCTGCCTCCCGTGCTGGAGCTGATGCCTCGGCTGCTCCCGGAGCTGAAGGTGCTTCCCCCACCATAGCTGAGCCCCCCGCTGAAGCCTCCGCTCCCTCCGAAGCCGCTGCTCATGCTGTAGCCTCCACCGCCGCCTCCCATACCAAGACCTCCTCCCATGCCCAGGCAGCTGCCGCCACCGTAGCCCATCCCGCTGGAGCTGCTGACCACGGCTGCAGGGAGACACAAAGTCAGGGTCCGGCAATCCCACCGGGAATGCTGCAGGACCCCACCATGGTGGCAGGGGTGATGGATGGTGCAGGACCCCCACCATGGTGGCAGGGGTGATGGATGGTGCAAGACCCCCACCATGGTGGCAGGGGTGATGGATGGTGCAGGACCCCCACCATGGTGGCAGGGGTGATGGATGGTGCAGGACCCCCACCATGGTGGCAGGAGGTGATGGATGGTGCAGGACCACCCATCCAAGGTGGGGGATCCTGCACTATCCATCGCCCATATGGCAGGGGTTGAGTGAGCAGGGGTGGAAGGAGGGGAGATACTTACAGACACTCACGGCTCCGACGCCCTCTCCGGCAAGCCTGTTGGGAAAGGGGAAAGTAAGCAATAAAGGCAAAATGCAGGCAAGAAGGTAGAACATTAGCCACTGGGACCATCTAGTCAGACTGTTGTGGCCTTCAGTGGAGACTGGTGGGGTATGTCTATGTCATGGGTGAAAGGTGGCAATGCTCATTTTTGTTACACCATCAGGTGCCAAGAGCTGGAGGAACGCTCCTTTTTGAAGCTCAGAGTTATAACACCCTTCTCTCTGCCCTTGTTTTACACCTCCTGGTGCTCCAGCCCCTGGGGAGAGTTCTCTCTTTGAGCCCAAGGAGATGTGCCCTGATCTGAAAGAGCAGAGAGCAACAGCTCCATGCATTTGCCCTCACCTGCTCTCCTCTCCCTCCAGCAGCTTCCTGTAGGTCGCGATCTCGATGTCCAGGGCCAGTTTGACGTTCATGAGCTCCTGGTACTCACGGAGCTGCCGGGCCAGGTCTGCCTTGGCCTTCTGCAGAGCATCCTCCAGCTCGGACAGTTTGGCCTTAGCATCCTTGAGGGCCATCTCCCCGCGCTCCTCTGCCTCAGCAATGGCTGCTTGGAGGGTGGCACACTGAAAGCAAGGAAAACAGACAATTATTCGACTTGGGCTGTCCCAAAGTGCTCTCCTGAGTATAACTATGGTATTGTTGGTACTGGCTGGTGGCTCCCCAGATGGCAGTGAGAGCTCCTGATGGGCCATCAGGAAGGTGTCACAGAGTGGGTGACTGGGTCACTGAAGCCATCATTGTGTCCCCCAGGAAAAGGAGAGGCATCTACAACTCTTTGCTCTGCTGGGGTAGCTTAGTAGATCACAATTTGCTTCCCCAGCAAGAAAGTGGCTATCACAGCACATCCTTGCACTGAGGGACCTCCTCTGGTGGGCAGACACAGAGTTTGCCATGTCCTCTTTAATGCAGGGGGAAAGCCTGGCCTTCCAGCCCTGCTGCAGTACCAGGGGCTGGCTCTTTTCACGGTTCCTGGCCACCCTATCTCCTCCCACCGGCCCTGCATCGCTCAGCAGCTGCTCTGCAGGAGCATCCCCCCTCTCACCTGCTTCTTCACGCTCTCGATCTCATTCCGCAGCCTCTGGACCACTCGGTTGATCTCTGAGATTTCCATCTTGGTGTTGCGCAGGTCGTCGCCGTGTCGCCCAGCGGAGACCTGGAGCTCCTCGTACTGGTGTGCGGAAAGGAGAGTGCTGGTTAGGCACCTCGGGGCTCGGGAGGGTGAAGGGGCTTCAGAGTGCTGCTCTGGGTGAAGGTTAAGGGGCAGGGGACACATTCCTTTGAGCAACCTGCCTATGGAATAACAGCATTTGCTCTTAATTGTTAATGTATATTAAGGCAGCTGTTGCATTGCATAGAGCACCTATGGGTTGCTACTAGTAAGAACCTGGAAGGGAAAGAGGAGTGCTCTGTGTTTATGTCCAGGTGTACCAGTGACTGTTTGTGAACCCAAGGTCAAGGCATTTAAGCATCTTGTCCCTTGGTTTCACCACGAGCATGTGAGAGTGGTCAAGGGTAGCAGCCCACAAGCACTCAGTGGGGATCTGTACGCAGGAGTCTATTGCAACATGCACAGAAAGATAAATTCATTCCTCCATCAGTCCTGCCTCCCACCAGTTAGTGTGGTGCCCCTTAAATCCCAGAAACCTGTCAGTCATTCATGTTCCCCACCTTATTTTGGTACCAAGCCTCAGCCTCTGCCCGGCTCCGGTTGGCGATGTCCTCGTACTGCGCTTTGACCTCTGCGATGATGCTGTTGAGGTCCAAGTTACGGTTGTTGTCCATGGACAGGACCACGGAGGTGTCAGACACTTGCTGCTGCATCTGGGACAATTCCTGCAGAAGATGCAAATAATGAAGTTAACGGTCTGGTGTCTGGGGTGGAAACCACACAGATGACGGGAACCCTCTCTGCCGAGCCATTTTCTTGCATTCCCCCTTGCTCTGCTCTCACCAGGTGCCCTTTTCTACCTTATACTTGCATTAGGATTTCAAAGAGGCAGTGACCACCTTCTTTTTTACTACTGGGCACGGCGGCTGGAGCACCGGGGCATGGAGAGCTGTACAGCAGGGAGCTGTGGAGGATGTTCCTGTGGGGAGGGCTGGCTGCTTACCGCTTCGTAGAGAGCTCTCAGGAAGTTGATTTCATCTGCCAGCTGATCTGCTTTGGCCTGCAGCTCGACCTTGTTCATATAAGCACCATCGACATCCTAAAGAAAAGGAAAGCAAAGATTTCTGGTGAAACCACAACCCAAAGGGGCTTCAGGACGCCAGTGGGACCATCTCTCTGCTTCCAGGTCTGTTATTCTTTGGGCTTGTTTTTTATGTTGCTGTGATGAAGGTTTGGTTTGGGGATTATTTTTACTGTAATGTTGGACATTTACCGTGAGCCAGAACAAGGTTCTTGGGCAGAAGGCAAAGCTCTGACTCATGGGGATGTGACCAGAGACCAAGCTGAATTGAGCCACAAGAGGCTGGGTGGTTTGCAACAGTGCAGCTCCATTGGCATAGAGAAGGTCATGCCCATCCTTGGCCATAGGAACACACAGCCCATCCTCCTAGACATGCCACCATCATATCCTGGCCCAGCTGTGAGGTTGTAGAACCCCAGCTCCCACCAGCTTTGCATGAACTCTCTACATGCCCAGGGAATGTCACTGTCCATCCCATAGCTCCCAATTCACTCACCTTCTTGAGGACGACGAACTCGTTCTCTGCACCCGTGCGTCGGTTGATCTCGTCTTCATATCTGTTAGGATAGAAGAGTGAGAGGGTTTGGGTGGGAATGAAGAGCAAAGCCAGCATGGGAAGCAGCAATGGGACCACTCCAGTCCCAAAGCATTAGCTGTAGCTCACAGACTTATTCCTTACTCCCACCTCTTTGCAGTCCAAGGCAGATGCAAATGATTACTGACTTTGAACCTGCAAGACTCCATCATATGAATAGTCTCATCTAAAATGAATAGATTCTAATCACTGCCCTTACAGTCAAGTTCATACATAAATGTGGGCAGATTCAGAGCCCATTTCGGTAGGAAGCAGGAGCCGGATTCTTGGTGACCTTTGCCGAAAGCAAAGTTGTGCAAAAGGCTTTCAACAAAGCTGCTTTGCAATGCCTACAAATATATAATAATGTAATGATTTGATATTTGATATTATAATAATGCTAATGGCTCTGAATAACCCGCTGCAGCATTTAATTAAAGAGAAAAGCCTCTGATTCTGTAGCCGTGGTTGTGCAAGAGCAGATCCTTGAGCCCCAGACTGTTTCTGTGGAACTTTTTATGGCTCTGAGCAACATCCTCTCATCAGATAATCAGGGCAGGGCAGCTAGAACGTAGACAAAACATGTAGGCTCTTGAGGCAAAGACCTGGATTTTAAAGGCAGGTTCATGCCAGTTCTTCTAGCGTTGGCAGAGATATCCCTGCAGATGGATCTCCAAGCGGACATGGGAAGAAGAGGAAATTAGCCAGAGAACTGGGAACAAACTCTGGGTCTGAAATCAAACATGTTCTCTTTTCCGGGCAGTAGCTCTAAAATTGAGACAACTTCATTTGTCGTTTTTGGCCTGATCAATATTTCTAAAAACCTATGATACATCTGAAGACCTGAGGGCCACCGAAGTACAACATATTAGAAGCTATGTCAGTCCATCCTGTCAGCTCTAAATGTCCTCTCCTTGTGTTCCCCCCCCAAAAAATCTGTCTCTTTATATGCTTAACTATCTAATACAAGCACATTCCAGGTCTCCAGGGTGTTTTTCTCTATTTGCACTTGGCCAGGTCTGGTTGAATAAGGGGGAGGTTGTTCTCACCAGACTGCAGCCAACTGAAGATGAGCGTCCTCACCTAAAAAAAACACCTAAATGTCCCTTGTAGTCAGCAGATGCCAGCTGGCACATCCTTAAAATGAGTCATCCCACCTCTGCTGGGGTGATCATCCCTTATCTCAGGATGGGATTAATTTCCCTCCAGGGAAAATCATTTTCTTTGACAGTAGTCAGAGAAAAGAGCTGAGCATCTTTCACGTGATGAGTGCTGAGCACACACAAGTTGCCTGGTGCCCTCTGGAAAGGCTGGAATTTCCTTTGGAAGAAGAGAAGTGGGGGGATTTTGGAGCTGACAGTTTATGGCTATGGTTCCTTCCCTTTTTGCGTGTCTATCAGACTCATGAGGTATGCATTTTTCTGTCTCCAGGTCTATTATTTTGGGAGATTTCTGTTACACTGGAGCACCTTCCCACGGGTGCACTAGTTCTGTGCTAAATGCTGCTCCTGCACCTAAGAAATCTGGCATAAGCAGAGGTAATTCTGAGACTAAGCTTTGCTTTGATATGTTCATTTTGCAAGCTGGAAGAGGATCCCAGCACAAACCCGAAGGGCATCAGTGGGCATGAGCCGCCTGCCCTGATTTTCCTGTCTGTTAATCATTTATGCTACAGAGCATGATTTCTTACTTGTTCTTGAAGTCTTCCACCATGTCCTGCATGTTCCTCAGTTCAGTGTCCAACCGTCCCCTCTCTCCCATAAGACTGTCCAGCTGCCGTCTGAGGTTGTTGATGTAGGCTTCAAAAAGGGGATCAAGGGACTTCCTGGTGACTGTGTGACCTTGCTCTTGGAGCAGGCTCCACTTGGTCTCCAGCACTTTGTTCTGCTGCTCCAAGAAGCGCACCTAGGGAGAAACAGAAAACAGGCACATGTGTTTTAGCCTGGAATGCAACCATGGGAATGGTTCACGAAAGAGCCCCGCTGTCAGGATAAGGTGGGATCATTCAACATGGAAAGAAAAGGTCAAGAGATGCTGGGACAGTCAGGGGGAAGGTTTTAGGATCTTCCTAATTTAGGGCACTGGAGTCTCGAAAGTATCAGAAGATGTTTAGCTATGTTTCTCAAGAGCTATTAAGCAGTCCAGACACTTGCAACTTCAGGTGTTTTTACCCCCACTAGATGCTCAGCCCACCTTACTGGTTTAAACTGGTGTTATCCCATTGAGTTGTGTAGAGCTTTGCCATTTTGCAACCAGTAGAAGATCCATCCATCCATCTATCCATCCATCCATCCATCCATCCATCCATCCATCCATCCATCCATGTTCTTTACAGGGAGGAGTGGGTTTACTTTTTCAATAAATAAGGTGATGAAGAACTCATCCTTGCAAAGAGGAAACCTGAGACAGTTCTCAGTTTTCAGCCAAACCCACGCTGTTTCTTGGCTGGGATTAGTTCAGACAAACCCCTAAATCCAAAGGAAGTTTCTTCCTGTTGCTTTTCCCCAAGGCAACTGATAACACGATGATGTTTAAGACCAAACTCTCACCTTGTCGATGAAGGAGGCAAATTTGTTGTTGAGGGTCTTGATCTGCTCCCGCTCCTGCGTTCGCACCTTCTGGATTTCTGGGTCAATATCCAGCTTGAGGGGTGCGAGGAGGCTCTGGTTGACAGTCACTTCATGGATGCCACCAGGTGGGCAAACAGGGAACCCGGGGCCACCTCGACCACCAAATCCGGGACCTCCCATCCCAAATCCACTGCCCAGCCCATAGCCTCCACCACCTCCTAAGCCAAAACCAGCTCCTGCTCCACCACCATAGCCAAGACCAAAGCCAGATCCTCCACCAAAGCAGTATCCACCACTGGCTCCACTCCGTAGACCTCCGACTGAGCTGTAGGAAATTCTCTTGCTTCCACCTAGGTTATAGAGACTTCTGCTGCCGAAGCCACCACCAGCTCCGAAGCCTCCTCCACCTCCGGCTCTTCCTCCTCCAACTCTGGAGACAGAGACGGAGCTAAAACTGCTTCTGGTACCACTGCCACCTCCTACGATAGCAGAGCCTGAGCTAAAGCCCCTCATGCCCCCTCCAGTAGATGATCTGAAAGAGATCCGACTCATGGTGTCTTGTTCGATTGGAAATGCAAAGAAGAGGAGAAGGAGGAAAAAAAAAGGGCTGGGAAATAAAAGCTGTGCAGCAGGAAGAGAGCAGAGGGCGATGGAGACAGAAACCCCTGTGATGGGAGAGCTTGGGAGCCTCCTCTTTTATCTGCTTGGAAAACTTGGCACGGGAGTTCAGAACTTGACGTGCCTTGCAGCGACTTGCCTTGTCAAACACACCTTGGCTATGGGGAGGTGCTGAAAAATGCATTGTTTGCAGGCAAGAAAGTAACGGAGTGAGGGAGCTCCCCCCTCCACTAAAGCCTGCCGCTCTGAGTCATGGAATTAGAATTGAATGGGACGACTTGGTCTGTGCTCAGGGGCAGGATCCAACACGATTCTCCCAAGACCCTGGGAGCCAGTTTTCCTTAGGTGAGCCAAGCGCTCACTCGCTTGAGTAAGGTTCCTTGCACTGAAGCTTTTTCAAGGAGAAGTTTAGGGTTTAAAGCATTGCACAGCAAACAGGGCAGCAGAAACAGGGGCTTTTCCAAGGCTGCCAGCTCTGGGACTCGGAATGCGTGTCCTGTTGTTGGCTTGGGAAAGCTGGGGGTGAAGGTGACTTTACTTAACAGCACAGCTCTCATGGTTTCTTTTGGGAAAGGGATCTAAATGATCACGGGCTGGAAGTGAAGGGCTGAGTGGAAGCTTTTCGTGGCATGATTTTCTGGGATCTTTCTGTCCTCATTGCAGGAAAACTGAGAAATCGGTTACCAGGACTTTCAGGGACAGGAAATAAATCCCTGTCCAAAAATAACTACAAATTAGATTAAATAGTACGACGAGACTTATAAAATTGTTATTAAAAAGATGTTTGAAATGATTGCTCTCCCTTTGAAACTCCTTGTCAGGCTCAAGGTTCAAAAGCTTCCTGTGAAGTGGTTTTCTTATCACTTCTTTCCCCCCCACACCCTGTATTAAGCAGCAGTTTCCACGTCATTGCTGGCTCTCCAAGATGTTCTGTAAAGGGGAATTCACCCTCTTTTCTTCCAGCTCCCTCCCACTCCCTTCTTCCCTCTGCTGAGATCATTCAGGTGGAAAATTTTCCTGAAATAGCCTTTGCCTCTTGATGTTGGGCTCTTGGGTTGAACCCTCACCGAGGAGCTTCAATCCCCATGATGAGGCTGGGCCGTGCTTTAGGACGGTGTAAAGGCAGGAGAGCGGGGAACCTCCTCTCCTGTGCCCATGAAGAGCTGGACACAGGTTACAAGAGAAGATATCCGCTCCTTCCCACCTGAAATAACTTCTGCAAACTGGATTCTCCCCAGCCACATCCTTGTGCCGCTGGGACGGACCACCTTGGTCAAGCTCAGGGTCAGGTAAAACAACAGTGCAGGGCAGAGACATGGAACCCCAAGCACCTGAATCAAAAAGGTTCTTGAAACTGTCTACGTGAGCAATAAGTACAGGAGCTTGATCCAAAACGAGCGGCTTAAGGGTATCTGCTGCAGCTCATAGCTTGTTTCTGTTGACGTGTTTCCAACCGCCTTTTTCTCTGTCTGGGAACTTGAAAGAACCGAGCAGAAGGGGGTTTTTGTTTTGTTTTGTGTTGTGTGTGTTTCCCTCCTCACTGCAATCAGGAGAGCTTCACAATGCTCATCTCCTGCAAGCCCTCCTATCGCTGAGCGTGAGTCACCGGCACCCGCGGGGCTTGGGGCGAGCTATCGGGAAGCCGATCCTTGGAGGTGCTTGGAGCGGGTGTTGCAAGGCAGCTTCCCACTGAAAGGGAGGTGGCCGGGCGGTAGCAAGGGGGTGCTCTCACCTCGGGAGTGGAGATGCGGGAGCCTCCATGGTGCTGGAAAAGCAGTTTCACTGGGAGAATTGCACCCACACATCCAGAAGCAAGGAGCCCCCCGTCTCACAAGTGATGCACGGTGGCAGGTAACCCCGATAGTAACACCGCTGGGGTTACGCTGGTATTGAAAACAAATAAACTGTGTTTATTTGGCAGATGTGTGGAGATTTGCTTCCCTAATCCTGCAGATGTGAATTGGCACATGTGTGCTTCATCTTGTGGACGGGGGCCAGGCAGAGAGCCTGCCTTTGACTTCCAAAGAGCTATGCAAAGTCACACCTGGGAACCAGCGCACAGGCTGCAAGGGTTTTAATTAAAGCAAAGAGAAAGGCTTCGTGTTGAAGGCAGTCATTACCTCCCCAGCTCTTCTAGGAAAGCCTGTTGCTGCAGACAATGGTAATTAAGTGGAATATTACAAAGAAGTTGGAAGAGTAAAGCAAATGATGGTTTAGGCACCAAAACAAGGAAAATGCTTGCAGAATCTCTCAGTCCCCCCCAGTTTCTTTGCTGGGCTTGTGTTGCTTATGCAGTGTCCTGGTGTAGCTGCTCAGGGCTGCAGGTGGGCTGTGTTTGCTCCCTCAGACAGGAAGGTTTCCTGCAGGATGTCATAGACTCCCGGACTGGTTTGTTTTGGAAGGGACCTTAAAGCTCATCCAGCTTCAACCCCTGCCATAGGCAGGGACACCTTGCACTAGAGCAGCTTGCTCCAAGCCCCTCCAGTGTGGTCTTGAGCACTGCCAGGGATGGGGCAGCCACAGATTCTCTGGGCACCCTGTGCCAGCGCCTCAGCACCCTCACAGGGAAGAGCTTCTTCTCCATCCTAAACCTCCCCTCTTTAAGTTTAAACCCATCACCCCTTGTCCTCATGATGTCCATTGCTACAGTCCCTAATGGAGGGTCCCTGTGTCAATCACAGAGCCAGGATTTGCTGCACAGGGGTTGCCTGGAGGGCGAGGGCACTGCTGGGGTGGAAGGTGGGCTTGGGATGTGGAGCATGGGGAGGAGGAACGGAGCCAGCTGAGATGTTTGCAGCAGCTCTGCTGCCTGTGAGCACCACTGTTGGGCTCTGCTATATGGGCTTTTTCCAGCTCAGGGTGGAATAAAGACATTCAAAACTGTTAAGGTTAGTTAAGGTTAGGTTGTCATTAGCTGCGTTAATTCCTTACACCCGTGCTGTGTCATTCAGTGCTTGCACTGAAATTGAGGTGACTCAAAGTTTGGTTTTAGCCTTCGCTGGTTTTTGTTCTGTCTGTAGCATCCTCTGCAACAGCAGGGACTGAGGAGCTGGGTTTTGTCCCCACACTTGGGTCTTTCTTACTGTGGCTCCTTGGATTCTCTGGGAGAAGGGAGCTTTGATGCTCCCGTGTTTTGGTGCATCCGGGTTTCAGTGAGGTTTTGCTGCAGCTGTTGTGAGCGTCTCCTCTGAACCTGCCGGGGCTTGCTTGCTCTTCCCCATTTGCTGTGCTGAGTTATGTACAGCCAGGATATGAAGAGGTCAGGGCAGAGCAAAGCCTCTGACTCTTTGAAATGCAATAATGTGTGAGTGGTTGTCTGAGTTGGGTTTCTTCCCCCCTTTTCTCTTCTTTATTCTCCTTTTGCAATGATGGGCTGACTGAAATACCGGCATTGCTTGGTGAGTTGCTCTGCTCCAGCTCACCAAAACCCATCCTCAATCTAGATCATCCTGATAAATGAGGATGTATCATTTATGCTCTTGGGTTTGCTACATCATTGTAAGAAAGCAGACATTAAATACTTGGGGTTTGCTCATGCTGGCAGGGGGACCCTCTCTTCCATGGAAGAAAAGCTTTTGGATTAACCCCAATCCTATGTTAAGAAATGAATGGTGATTCATTTTTCTGTCACTTAATGGATAAACCCCCTGCCCCCCCCCCCCCTTTTCTCTGATTCTTCAATTTAATTTCAAGATTTTCATTATTATTTTATCAAAATTTTGAAACTTTTCCCCTGAAGTGAAGCAAAAATCCTCTTCAGTTGAAGGTTGGGAGCATTTCATGCTACTGATTCTGGTTCAGACTAAAAAAAGATGTAGGGACACATAAATTACAATCCAGTTTTATTGGACACATTCCAGAAAGAGAGAGGAAGGAAAACACAGCATTGTATCGCTACCATTGGGATATAAAAAGCTGCAATTTTCTTTGTAATGGTACTTCCACACAAATAAAAAGACATGCTGGAAGGCGAGAGGGGTAAACACCATCAGAAAGGGGAAACGCCATCAGTTTGAGGCACTGGTGTGCTCCTGCTCCCAGTTGCCTCATTTGCCATGTAATGGGCTGAAACCTGGCTGCACTTTTCAGTTTACCAAATGTCTTCCTTGTAGCAGAGAAGCCCACACTTGGTGGAGGTGCTCAAATGCCCCTTGGAGCAGTGTGGACATGGGCATTTGGGTGGATTTTCAGTGTGATTTTCAGTGTAATTTTCACTGTCTCAGGCTTTCACCTTAACTGCTGCTACCAGGACAGTGGGGAGCTCATCAAGACTTAGGCTGTTGGATGATTCTGGCATTTTTTAAGCCTTTCCAACAATACCCTCAGGACAGCAACTCAATTTAACTGCAAACACAGATCTGGCTTTTGGAGAACTCCCTGCCTCAGTTATTACTTAGAATGAAGGAATCCTATCATTTAGGAAACAAGCCCTTTTCCATACATTGTGGATCAGTCAATGGTGGCTCCTCTGACCGAGATCATGTGTAAGGTGCCACTAAGGGCAAACTTTCACTTAAGAGAAAGGACAGGAATGGGAGAGTAGTTGGGGCTTCCTTTTGCACAAGCTCGTTGCAAGTTAAATCCACATTCCTGCGAGTGGTGCTTTTTAGATGGAGGTATCTCAGCTTGCTCTGAACCACTGGCCGGGCTCTTGTGCTTGACTTCACAGAGCTGCAACGCTCAGCACATCTGGAAGAAACATGTTTTTCAAAGCTCATCTGGGAATGGGGAAAAGAGGGGTTTTCCATCGCACTCGGCTGACTCAGAAGTGGCTCCTAAAGGGCTCTGTGCTCCCACAATAAGGGATGTTTTAAGAAGGGCCCCACGCTTGCAAGCCACTGCCTGGGATCTTTCCGTAACCTCCTGGGGTATTTCTACATAGCAGAAAAATAACCCACGTCTCTGATGAAGATGAGTTGCTTAACTTGAAGGACTGAGTTTGGTTCATCCCAGCAGTGAAGGCAAAGCAGGCTGAACTGAAGCCAAGTTCCCAGCCCATCCCTGGGCTTCTGTGGGCCAGAACTGAGCTAAAACCCCAACTTACTGCATCTTCGCTGCTATTTGATCTGTCTTAGCTGATGGCTGTCAGCTAGCCACAATGACAAACAAGCTGCTCAGCCTCATTAAAAGCAAACAAACAAGCAAAGAAGAACCCCAATTCCCCATTCAGAAGATCACTTAGGCCCGTGGTTTCCTTTTAATCCTGTTTCAGGTGCTTTGAGACATCTGGTTCATGTGTGTGGTGCTGCTTTTCCTCAACTGTGATCCAAATGCAGAAGAGCTACGGTGCAAGGAGCCAGGACAGGGTTGTGTGGAAGGGTGGTGGTGGTCAGGAGTGATACAGGAGTAATGCAGGAGCAATGTGGGAGTCATGCCTTTGGGGAGGGTCTGGAGCTGGTTTTACTCGGGCTCTGTAGCATTCTTCAGGCTTTGACTTTTTATGCTCTTTTTGCTGGAGGAGGTTTTAGAGACGATTTTCACTCCTGGGTTGGAGCCTTTTGCACTTCCAGAACTGAAATTCCCTCCGCTGGTGCTCAGAGTGCTGCCACCACCTCCTCCATAGCCAAGACCACTTGCAGTGCTGAGACCACTGCCTCCTCCGAATCCACCTCCGAGGCCACCACCACCCCCAAGTCCAAGTCCTCCTCCGCTTCCAAAGCTGTAGCCTCCACCACCACCTCCTCCAAGGCCAAAACCGCTTCCACCACCTCCTCCAAGGCCAAAACCGCTTCCACCACCTCCTCCAAGACCAAAACCGCTTCCACCGCCTCCTCCAAGACCAAAACCGCTTCCACCTCCTCCTCCACTTAGGCTCAGTCCACCAAATCCTCCTCCTAACCCAGCTCCACCAGCCATGCCAGAGTTGGAGCTGATGACGGCTGCAAGAAAAAGCAATGAGAGGGTTGGACATGTGTTTGGCAGACACCCAGTTCCGCAAAACACCATCCTCAGGACCTCAACCCACAGGACTTGAACCCAACTTATCTCTTCTCTGCAAGACACTAATGCTGGTTGGAGGGCTCTGGATGTGTTATATTGGGCAAAACCTCCCCGTTCCCAAGGTTGCTCACAGTCTCTGCTCCCAGTGGGCCCAAAGCAAGATAAGCACTGCGGTACTTACAGTAGCTGATGGGGTTGAGTCCTTCTCCACTCAGCCTGTTGGGAGCAGATAGAGGGGAGGTAAGAGTAAAGTAAAGGAGACAGGCAGGGGCAAAGCAACCATCACTATTACTCCTGCAGGAATCTTGTGCTTACCTGCTCTCCTCTCCCTCCAGCAGCTTCCTGTAAGTTGCAATCTCGATGTCCAGGGCTAGCTTGACGTTCATGAGCTCCTGGTACTCACGGAGCTGCCGGGCCATGTCAGCTTTAGCTTTCTGCAGAGCATCTTCCAGGTCAATCATCTTTGCCTTGGCATCTTTGAGGGCCAGCTCCCCACGCTCCTCAGAGTCTCCAATTGCTGTCTGCAGGGTGGCACACTGCAAGAGAAGGGATTGGGACTCCTAAACGCTGCTTTTCCTTTTGGATAAGGAAACAAAACCATTCTGGGTTTTAGTGAGAAAAGTGGGTTTTAGTGAGAAAAGTGATGACTGAGGTCATTCACCCATAGCTAACATTACTGGAGTTGAAATGCCAGCCTGGCAAGAAAGATTGAATAGATGTCATCGCATGGTACCCTTTCCAGGAGAGAATTCAACATGTTTAATGAGATACATCTTACTAATGTTCCTGATCAGCAAAGCAGAGCTGTGGTGCTAAGGGACCAGAGGATGGGGCTCCACAAGCTCCATTTGCCATTCCTACCTGGTTCCTCGTGTTCTCTATCTCTGACCGGATCCTCTGGATCAGCCGGTTGAGCTCAGAGATTTCCCCCTTTGTGTTGCGCAGGTCATCCCCGTGCTTCCCAGCCGTGGCCTGCAGCTCCTCGAACTGAGGTGCAGAGGGAAGAGTAAACCACTTGGACAAGATATGGCCCAAAGAGGCAAGGGACAGCAGCGGTGTTCCCCAGAAATGCATCCGTGGCATCTGTGGGTCTGTTCACCTTGGTTTGGTACCAAGCCTCCGCCTCGGCACGGCTCCGGTTAGCAATGTCTTCATACTGAGCTTTGACTTCAGCTATGATGCTGCTGAGGTCCAGGTCCCGGTTGTTGTCCATTGACAGGATGACGGCGGTGTCGGACACTTGTGCACTGAGCTGAGCCAGCTCCTGCAAGGAAGCACACGGGATCCCGGCTGGCTGCACTTACCTTTGCCATTGCCATGAATGGTGGCAGTCACTGTCCAAGGGTGACAACAGGACAGAAATCAGGGGAGGAGGGTGTCTGTACCGCATCATAGAGGGCTCGAAGGAAACTGAGTTCATCGTTCAGAGCATCCACCTTGGCCTCCAGCTCCACCTTATTCATATAAGCAGCATCCACATCCTGGAAAAGAGCAGCCATGGGGACATCTGCAGAACCTCTTCTGTAGCTCAGCCAAAAAACGGCCAAGCCAGGAGAGGAGGCCTGGTCTTCCACCACTGCACTGCTGCTGCCAGCCAAGCTCTACTTGGCACATCCCCTGGCAAAGCACCCAGAGGACATCTCTTGGCCAAAAGAAGCTCTGCGTGTAACGTTGTGAGTGGATCAGGTAGGGGATGCAGCCCTTTGGTTTCGGTACCCACACTAGTGACCATCTTTGTTTTGCGTGATCTATTTTCCCAGGCATCCATGTGTGTATGTTGTGGGGCAGGAGTGGGACAAGAATTTACTTCCATCCTCCGAGCCCCTCCATTCCTTTCTCCCCAAAACCACAGTCCAAATGACAGCTTTTAAAGGATGAGGATGCAGCTCCATGAGATCTCCCATCCTTTAGGACATTCCCAGCCTGTGCAACGGTTAAGGTTAGATCAGCATCCCTAACACCTCCTGTCTCACCCACCTTCTTCAGCACCACAAATTCATTCTCCGCGGCTGTGCGTCGGTTGATTTCCTCTTCATACCTGCAGGGATAAAGGGAAAGACGTGATGGATCATACCTTGGCAAACAGAAAAGTTGTACAGGTCGGATGGAGAGTTGTCTGGGCTGGGAATGGTGATCCAAATCAACCTCCTGGAAACCGCCCTGCTCAAATTCACTAGAATCTGATTTCTCCAAGGGTTGAAAAGAGATTTTGACATAATGCAGATGGAACAAGGAGGGTAAAGCTGGTTTAGATGATTTTCCTTTACAAGTGTCATCACATGTTGTTGTGTTCTGGCTGAGTTTTCCAATTGGAAAAATGTTGATGGACAGACAACCTTTCTGCTGCTCTTAAGGAAGGCAACATGGGTTCTGCAGGGAGAGAGACCTCACATGAGTGGTATTCAGAGGGGGATTAGTTAGGTACTGTGTTATGGGCTAGAGCACAGACTGGAGATCCTCTTTTCCCCCCTTTCCTGTGGAAAGTTTGATGAATCTCTCAGGCTGATGTTTGACCTTTCAGAAAGCGAAATTTAAGCGAATTAATCCTACTGCCTAATGCTCAGATGAGCCATTTGCATCCCATTTCACCCCAGCGTGCCTGGATGTGCTGCTAACAGGCACTCACTTGTTCTTGAAATCCTCCACGAGGTCTTGCATGTTCTTCAGTTCCCCATCCATGCGTCCTCTCTCGTTGAGCAGGGTGGCCAGCTGCCGTTTCAGGTTGTTGATGTAAGCCTCAAAGAGTGGGTCCAGGCTGCTTTTGCCTGAGCTGTTTTTTTGACCCTGGTCCTGCAGGAGGGTCCACTTGGTCTCAAGCACCTTGTTCTGCTGCTCCAGGAAGCGAACCTGAGCATTGGGAAGCAGAAGAGGCTTAGCAGAGGATACCTGTGAGCATGCTGATGGCCAGGAATCAGTAACTGGGACTGATGCATGGCAGCACCCAAGGCAATCCCACACTAAGAGTGTTAAATCCGGCTATCAATATCCTCTAGATTATCTGGGGCTGTCTTAGCCCACCCAGTAGTTAAGCAAATTTTAGGGTTAGGGTTAGGATTAGGACTAGGGTTAAAAGTTATGGTTAAAGTTATGGTTAGGGTTGGGATTCAGACTCAGTGGCCAGTTCTCTTTAGAGACAATTTAATTTGGCAAGCCAATGAGCAGTCATTAGAAAATGTGGGTTCAGCTCTTTCAGCACTTGCTTTCTTCAACATCCTTTGTTTTTTTTCTGTCTTTGTTAGAGATATTCATCTTCCTTCATTAAAGCTAAGATCTGAGTACTACAGGTTAAAAGACAAGTACGTAATTGCCTTTCCTTTTGCTCATATATAGTACATATTTACAGGAGTCAAAGCCAAGGAAGGACTTAAGTTGAGTCAATTTAAAAAGGACTTTAGCTTGCAGGCAATAAAGCAATAAGGACTAAGACATCTGCTGCGATTCTCCGCAGAGGGAGCTGGGTTAAGCAGCTAGATCTGGACCTGAAACTGGCTTGTTCCATTTGGCCAAATATATCTTATTTCTCAGGCAAAAACCCTGGATCTCATCCTCTTCTTACTAGTTTCTGGTCTAGTTTTCTGCCCTGTAACTGTTCAGAAGAACGTTCTTTTTGAGTGCTTTAATGATGACCTGCAGAATAGGAAACATGCAGCAGACTGTAGATCTATGAAGTTGTACTTTGGCAGCTACAAGGCTGTCTCTCTCCCTCTCAATCACATTCCACAGCACTTGATGAAGTCTCACCTTGTCGATGAAAGAAGCGAACTTGTTGTTGAGGGTCTTGATTTGCTCCCTCTCATCTTTTCGCACCTGGTGGATGTTTGGGTCTATCTCCAGGTTCAATGGCGCCAGGAGGTTCTGGTTGACAGTCACTTCTTGGATTGTACCAATTCCAGGTGGGCCACCACCAAGTCCCATTGGGTTCCTGCCACCACCCAGCCCTCCACTGAACCCTCCCAGACCCCCTACTCCACCAAAGCCAAACCCTCCACCACCTCCAGGTCCACCACCAAAGCCAAGCCCGCCAGCACCTCCACCAAAGCCATATCCACCACCTCCACCACCGAGACCAAGCCCAAGACTGCCGCCAGCTCCACCACCACCAAGTCCACAGCCACCACCACCTCCCAGGCCAGAGGCACCCCCAGCTCCACTCCCGAAGGCAGCTCGGAAGCTGCTTCCAACACCAATGGATATTCTCTTGCTACCACCAAGGTTGTAGAGGCTTCTGCTGCCAAACCCACCACCACCACCACCGCCGCCACCTCCTCCAATGAGCCTTCCAAAACCACCTCCACCTCCTCCAGATCGTGCCACAGACATGGAGCTAAAGCCAGCCCTGTTGCTGCTTGGAATAATAGCTGAGGCAGTGCTGTAAGATCTGCCTCCACCTCCAGCTCTCATGCTGTAAGTTTGCCGATTCATGGCAGCAGGAGATAACACTGGCAGTGCTGAGAAGCAGCAGAGAATGCAGCTCTCGGATGGGAGGGCGTGCAGGATGCCCCTTTTATCCCTGTGGGGATCTGGGCTTGGTTGCATGGAAGTCCAGTGATCAATTTGGTGCCTTCATGGTTTTGACGTGCCAGGCAGCCAGCTGTCTCCATGAGACTTGTTAAACCCTGATTGCACTCAAACACACCTCTTGGAGCTGCTGTGAATCTGCTCAGCTAGAAGAGTTAGATAACTCCCTGAGTTCTGGCAGCGAGAGCTCCTGCTCCCTTAGTGCAAACCCTCTGTACGCTTACAGAGGTGGATTATTTCATTTCCTAACTGCAAAACAAGATAGGGAAAATAAAGAAAGGGTGAAAAGAACAAAATAGCTACATGGGATTCTCCTGTGCTGCTTATGCAGTAGATCAGTAGAAAGCTTAGTGGAGAGTCCTCTGAGGTAACTCAAGTGAAAGGCAGTGGCAATAAAATGGCTAAATCTGAACAAAAATATTTCACAGTGCCTTCACAGAGCACAGGAGTGATGCTCATGAAGCCTGACATCTCTTTCAGGGCTCTAATTTATCCAGTTTGCCCATTCACACCATCATGCAGAGGCCTTCGTTTTGAGCTGGCTAGTACAAAGAGGTCCTGATGCATGATTTTCTGCTGAGACACTCTATTTAAATGTCACCTCAAATGTTGTCCATTTAGGTTTTAGTCTATGGCAGGTTTCCTAGGCTTCCTTTCTAGAGGTGTTGGCATCTCTAAAGGACAGCTCCATCCCACCCAGAGGCTGCCATTGCAGAGCCTCCAGCCATCTGATGATGTGGTCGACGTGTTTTCATCTTGGTCTAAAAAGCATTTCCACCAAGGAGACAGATTTTCTGAGAAACACTCTGCCCAGCTTTGTGGCACACTATTATTTGCATGTCAACGCAAAGATGTAATCAGTCTCGAGTTTCTAGCTCTTTTACAGCTGTGATTTCTTTTACAGACCTTTGAACATTTCTGTTCAAAATGTTGCCAAAAGCAAAGATTTAACCAGCATGAAAAACACTCCCACAAATTCTCCTTGTTTTATTTCCTGGAATCCTTGGGAAAAAGAACAAAATCAGTGGGGGGTGATGACATTTTCTACCATCTCAGACTTGGTGGAAATGCAATGTTTTGAGTGTTTTATTAGTTGTATGTAAGAGCACAGTTTTCAACATGTTGCTGTCCTGGTGGCATTGCCCATGCTGTCTGCATGACTGGAGCTTAAATCTATTTACAGGATAGGTCTCTACATGCCCTTCAAAATGCATTCATGTGCCCCAGTGCTAAAAAACCATTAAGTATGAGCTCAAATCCCACTGGCATCTCTGGAAGAAAGATTAAGCAGGTGCTTCATGTTCTACCTAATGCAGAACACAAAATATCTGATTATCCTTGGAGAAATGCTGCCAGGCAGGCTTGAACTGGGAGAGCTGGGTCACTCAGATAGAATATCCCATTGCAGTGTGAAATTCCCAGTTGGTGCAGGTTGGCTTGGTTTTCTTTGGGGAGTGTTGGTCTGAATCTGCCTGGGACGTCACTTGAAATTCATGAGCATCTCTTGCCTTGATTATTTGCATGAAATTCAAAGCCCGGGTGCGATGGGAAAATGAAATTGTCTTCATGCTTTCTTGACCCCAGTAAAGGCAGATTGTCCTGAAGCTGACAAACGGGTTCAGATCAGATGTCAGAGCTGAATGAATGTAATGGGATTAAAGGTGGGGCTGCCAACAAGAAAGAGGGAATTGTCATTTTAAGCTCCCACACTCTTCTTCCTTCAGCCCACTGTCCACCAGGTATGTGAGCAATGCAAAGGCTGGGTGGAAAATGCATCGCTCCTTTCCCAGGCTGGTTTATCATGTGGAGGAGCTGAGGTTTGTGGGCTCCATATTCCAGAGGTAAATGTGGCTTCTTGCATCTGTTAGTTGGGATCAGCTCTACCAGATTCTGTTGACCTATGAAGGGTCGTGTCCAGAGCAACTCTGAGCAGGATCTGGCCTTCAAACTGCCCCAAAATACAAGCTCCTGACCTTTTTAATCTCCAAAAAGGCCTGATGTACCTGAGCATCCTCAAACAGGCAGCAGAAAACATGGGTTGAGAAGGGCAGGCATGATTAAAGGTTTTCTCCCAGAAATGCAAGAGCTGCTGGGCTGCTTTGGTACCCTGGGGAGCTGGCTGGTTTTGGTGCGCAGGTCTGTTCTGCAGGGATGTGATCAGCATAAATTATGAGCTGTTGGGGCACTGGAAGCTTCTTGTTTGGGTGTTCCTGCTTGATATTTACATACAAATGAGATGATGTCCGAGTCACATTGGGAGAGAAAGGATGAAGATAACCATTTCGAGCAACGTTCGCTTGAGGTGGGTGGGTTTTGTCTTCTCAGCTGATTCATTTGGCTTTCACCACCACCCCCAGCCCAGACAGTGTGGCCAAGGAATGTCATTTATTAAAAATCAATTAATGATCTACTACCTGCTGTTCACCATCATCTTGCTTTCCATTAGAAGAGCACTGCAGACATGGGGAGCCTGAATCCACCCTGCTCAGCGCAGCCTCTGTGCTAGGAGAGAAGCAGAGGCAGATGCTCATCACCATCCTGTTGGCATGGACAGACCGAGCCTGGCTGCGTGGTTCAAGTCATCCTCCAGCCATGGAGATGTTGGGGCAGGCAAGGCCATGAGTCAGCAGTGAAGCCCAGGAAGCGGAGTGAGATGTTGGGGAATAAATTACAACACCCGGTCCTCGGTGTAGCTTTCATGGGCTGAATTAACCTGCCCACACCCTGCGCTGGTTCCAGACTGGGTGAGGAGAGACAGATTTCTCCAAAGGGAATTTCAGAGCAGCGTTGTCTTTTGGCTGCACCCAGGCAAGCCACGGGAAGAAAGGAGCCAGCAGGGCTGGCTGGTTTTCGTTAGCATCCATCTGTGCATCCAGCTGCGATGGGTGCCACCATGGCAAACCCTTCCAGCCATGTTATAGAGACCTTTCAGGAAAGGTCTGGGCGCCCTCACAGGGAAAGGGCAAGCTGATCTCACCCAAATCCCAGTGTCCTAAAGTGAGTTTTCCCCTCCCTGCAAGGAATGATGGAGGAGGACATCCAAGCATGTCCTACAGGCTCTGCTCTTTGTCTAAGTCCTTGTGCTGTAGGGAAGATGGGGCATTTTGGACACTGCACTTTTCTCTTGCTCTTGTTTCGGGGTTTCAGGGTTGGGATGTGGGATTCTTTTCTCTTTGTTACTACCAGGGCTGGTTCTCACTGATTTCTTTTAACAAGGTCCTGTCTGCTTTTCTGTTCTGCCTCCAGAGATCCCAGACAAGTGTGAGAGATCCCAAGTGAGCTGCGCATCCCACGAGCAGTTAAACATCCCAGTTTACACTGCATTTCCAGACTTCCTTCTGGCCACACTGGTCTCTGGGTGGAAGAAAGATATGCAAAAGTGCAGGAGAGGAAGGAGAGCAGACAAAGTCTCAAAAATTGACTTCTTAAAACTCCACTTCTTGTGGGCCACCAACCCCACCCATATGGAGAATCATGTCTGAGAACATATCCATGCTTTTGTAATATCAGGGAGGGAAAGAAAACCCATGAAGCAAAGCATGAATTATGCATGTAGTTTATTGAAGGTACAGCTGAAAGTCTGGAGTAAGCGAAGGGTAATCAACTCTGTTCACTTACACATGAAAAGCATTAAATGGGTCTATCTGGTACACACACAGGAAAAACAACGCATGCATTTTACTACAGAAACATAAGGTGCTCGTCGGTGTGTAATTAAAAACCACTCTACCAAACCTGGTGTAGCAACTTGGACCAATTTACATAAGCATTACCAACCCTCTCGTAAACAGGAAAAATTGGATTTTCTGGTGTCATTAAAGTTAAGTAATAGCTGCAGCTCCATTGCAGACAATTAAAATGTGGCTTCTCTTTCTGAAGGTGGGATGACCAAAGTTGTCATCCTTTTGCAAGAGCTGCATTGCGGAAGGGATGGGGGGGGGGGGAATCCTTGCTGGAAAGCGGTCCAGCAGGGAAGACTGATTTAGGGTGATGTGTGACTCCCTGAAATGAAAACCTCACCTGGCTGAGACCATGGGGATGAGTTTTCCCTCCGAGAAGGAGATGCAAGAGAAGGTGGGTTTTGATCATGCAAAGGGTTTTTGGCAGAGCGCCTATCCTAATGGTGTGTGCACGGGCAGCGCATGGTTGTGTGATCCCTACAGCTGTCAGGAGGAAGGGGAATACTGTCTTATCGCAGAAATGCTGACTAATTTAAAACACAATGTGTAGTTACCCTCCGGCCTCTACCGGGTTGTTCTGACCACACGCATGGCTGTGCTGTACCTGTTCCCGGCGCCGCACACCCCTGCCCCTGGAATGATGACGGCTCCCGGGCTGCACTGCTCCACGCTGGTGCACACCACGTTCCCCAGGTTGCCCATGCCGGTGGCACACTGCACCCCTTCAGCACCGGGGATCACCTCTCGCCCCACGCAGCTGACCACGCTCCTGGCCCCAAAGCCAGCCCCTACCCTGGGCAGACAATCCACGCTCCGGGTGCTAAAGCCGGCACCGGTGACGCCGAACGAGGAGACCACCCCTAACCCCGGCCCGGCCCCCCCTGCCTTCACAGTGCATTTGCCTCCGATTCCAGATAGGGATCGACACTCGCCGACGGTGCCACCACCGCTGACCACGGCTGCGGGAGAGAAACAGGCTTGGTCGATCCCTGAGCAGCTAAAACCCAGCTTATAGGGAAACTCACAAGCTTAAAAGACTTGTAAGGGAATCAAGGGAGTGCTTCATTAGCTTACCTACGCTCACAGGGTTGCCGGTGCATATCCTGTTAAGAAAAGATATGTCTCAAAGGTGTGTTTAGGGAAATATTCCTCAAATACACAAGCAAATAGAGGTGCTGCCCAGCCATTGATTCCTTAGAAACCCTGCAGGTACTTCAGGCTGGATGTGGTTCTGGACAGCCTGGTCTAGGTGAAGATGTCCCTGCTCATCACAGCGGGGTTCGACTAGATGAGCTTTGAAGGTCCCTTCCAACACAAACCATTCTATGGTTCTATGATTCAGCTTTTCTATGCACCTGGGTGTGAGGTGCTGGGCCAATTGCCCACCAAATCACTGAAGGGTTGGATGCCCAAATCCCATAGAGATCTTAATATCCCATCCCCTTTTTGTGCCACAAGAAAGGCCTCTGACAGCAGCGTGCTTGGTGAACCGTGATAGAGCTGCCCTGGGAGCATGAAGAGGAAACAGGGGCAATGCTTCGCTCTACACCTATGGGGAGAAAAAGGGATGATGCTCCCCTCTGTGCACTCATGGGGAGCTGAGTCTACCCAGCATTTCTCATTGCACCCCTCTCCTCCTATTGGGTTTTGCCAGCTGTCGATACAGGGTGCAGCCAGGGATGCTCCTACCTGCTCTCCTCTCCTTCCAGCAGTGTCCTGTAAGTGGCAATCTCAATGTCCAGGGCCAGCTTGACGTTCAGCAGCTCCTGGTAGTCTCTCAGCAAGCATGCCATCTTGTCCTTGGCTTGCTGCAGTGCAGTCTGCAGGTCAATCAGCTTCTGCCGGGCATCTTTGAGGGCGCAGTCACCCCGCTGCTCAGCATCACAGATGGCCGTCTGCAGAGCTGCAATCTGTGGACAGTAACAGGCAAGAGGGTGGCCAGTGGGGATATTAAGAGGCATTTCCACAGGGTTGCTCATGTACCCCTTTGTTTCTCAGCTGTGGACTGACAGAGAACCTAGGTTTAGGTTGGACACATGTTATGAACAAGCTATTTAGCAGTAGCAATGGCAGTGTTCAAGGCCAGGCTGGACAGTGCTTGGAGTAGCTCGGTTAGTGTGAGGTGTCCCTGCCCATGGAACTAGATGAGCTTAATTTCCTTTCCAACCCAAACCATTCTATGATTCTATGAAGGGGAGGGGATCTGTTGGCTGCACCCTGGTAGGAGGCATACAGCAATCACTGCTTCTGTTAGGGCCAAACCAACTGGATTCTGCCTATTTACTGGGAAAGAATTCTACTTCTTTGTGTATCAACAGTGGAAGAGAACCTACAACCTGCAAATGCAGGCTTAAGTTGGGAGGGGGGAGCTCTTTGCAGCTCAGCAAGGTGGGAGCTGGTGGGGATGAAGCCCTTTGCACAGCCTGCTGCCCATGCAGTGCTTTGTCCTACCTGTTTCTTCACGTTGTCCGACTCGCACTGCAGCTTCTGGATCATCCGGTTCAGCTCAGCTATCTCGCTCTGGTTGTTCCTCAGGTCGTCACAGAACTTGCCTCTGCTGCTGTGGAGCTCCTCCAGCTATGGCATTGGAAGAGGATGACGTTAGTGTGCCCACATCACCCCTTCCACGGAATCTGGTGATGCTCCAGAGCTGCACTGACGTTGATGCTCCTGGGAAGCACCCAAAAATGACCTCAGCCTAGACAAGGTGACAGTCCCAGGTTGGTCTTGGTCATTTACCCTTGGGGAAGGGGATGTGCACATCCTGATGGGTGTACACCTCTCTGAAGCAGCACAGGGACCTGCTGTGGTCTGGTTTTACAGGGAAGCCTCAAACCACAGCTTTAAGACTGGTGGGTTTTTTGGCTTGACCTTCTTTAGCCAGCTACGGTGCATGAACCCCCAAGGCGTGGGTTTGAGTTGTGTCATGGAGGACAGAAATAGTTGGTCCTTGGAGCTGGCCAAGAGATTTCATTGCTGTCAGTGCTGGTGGTGTGAATACTCACTCTGGTTTGGTAGAAAGCCTCCACTTCAGCCTTGCTCTTCTGGGCGATCTCCTCATAGCAGCACTCAACACTCTTGATGATGCCTTCCATGTCCAGGTCCCGGCTGTTGTCCATTTGCACGATGACAGAGGTGTCACACAGTTGGCAATCCAGCTGAGCTCTCTCCTGCAAGACCCCCTGCATGTCAGTCCCCTTCCCTCAACCAGCCCAAGGGACCCCTGGCAAAGGGGGGGTCTGCTGAGAAGGTGGAAAGCTGGGGAAGTTCTCCCATTAACACCCAACTGGGATGCTGGGTTCTCTGGGTGGGTAACTGGTTTCTAGGAAGAGCTGGGACCTGTCTTGTTGACACAATATGGGATTGCTGCATGCAGTTCCCTAAGGAAGGGTGGGGAATCCTGGTGGGGCAACTCGCTTCATTAAGATTTGGCATTTCTGGCTGTGTCAGCAGCTTCCTGGGGTGTGAAGCCCTCAGGGGTGGGTGCTTTGGGACCCTTTGCTGCTGGGAGGTGTTTGCCTGGAAAAGGGGCAAATGCAAAGTGTCCCCTGTGTGCTTTGTTATAAACTCCCTCCGTTTTAGACCAAAGTGTTACTTTCACCGAAATACTTTGACTAATGTAGCTTCAAATGAGAACATCTGGGTTTTGAAGAGTGAGATGGTCCTGTGGTTCCCAGGGGTTATTTTGACTAGAATTTGAGGGGCTTTTTCATGCAAAAGATCACTCTCTTTGCAGCCAGCAATACAGGGGACAACCAAGGATGCCCTTTGCCTTCCAAAAGTGTGTGCAATGGTGTTGTTATCATATATATATATATATATAAAGAGAGAGAGATTTGGGGGATGCAATCCCAGGATTTGCAGAAAAGGCCCCTTTCCCTGCTTTAGTTCTGGTGTGGGAGCTTGGGGGGCAGCAGATGATGCCTTGTCCCCAGGGCAGCACACAGGGAGCCAGGAGCTCTTACCTCGGCATAGATGCACTTCAGGAACTCCAGTTGCTGCCGCAGGAGACCCACTCTCACCTCCAGCTCCTCCTTGGTCAGGTAGAGACAGTCCACATCCTAGAGAAACACCATGTGTGCAGTGAACAGAGGTGAAGAAACAAGGGCTTTTTGTCAGGTTTGGAGGAAATCCCACTATTCCCAGCCCTTAAACCATCTGTTTTTTGTTGCATGTGCCCACAACCTGACAGGGGATCTCCAGGTTCACTGGGTTGCCTCTGTTGTGGGGCTACCTGATAAGGACTCAGTGTCAGGGTCAAGGTGTCCCCATTTCTCTCCCTGGCCCCACACTCAGGTTTTGCCCACGCTCCTGTTGCTCTCTGATGGTCCCACTGGGGCTGTCCCTTGTGTCACTCACCTTCTTGAGGACCACAAACTCATTCTCCGCAGCCGTGCGCTTGTTGATCTCATCTTCATATCTGCAGGAGGAGGAGAGGAGAAGGGTGGGATGACGAGCCCCGTCCCCATCACCCAAGCAGCCAGTGCAGAACATGGGAAGCGTGGTTAAAAGCAGAGCCTCTCCCTGTTGCTTTGTACCTCCCTTTTCATTTTTCCTTTGTTGCTGTTTCTTCCCTGATGGGCTTTGTTCAGCAGTTTTAACCAGCCCATGCCAGCAGCGCTGGTGGCTGGAGTGAGCGGGCAGTAAATCAGGCCAAACCACTACAAATGCAAAGCTCTGCACCTCATCTGAAGGCTGGGACTGCTCCTTCTGGCCTTGCTGCTTTGTGTGATGTTTTTCTGATGCAGGCAGGACTCTGCTCTGAGTGTTCATGGGGAGAGTGGCCAAAATGCCCCAGGGGAGGTCAGGAGCTTGAGCAACCTTTGAAACTCCCAGGTGCAATGGGGAGGAAAGTCCATGTATAATAACCAAGTTAATTGGGACCTAGAAGAACTTTCACAACATGATTCTGGGCGTCTGACCTCCTTGGTGGTGGCTCAGAGAGAAAACACACCTGAGATGCTTGACTGAAAGACCTCTGGAGAAAGGACTCCCCTTTCATCCTGTGCTGTATAGCACCAACCACCAAGTGTCCTGTCCTGGGGCTTAGTGGAGCGCACGGGGAGCTATTAAGCAGTATCTGCAGCTTAGATTAAAAAGCCAATTCCCACATTCCCTCTGGGAAGAGAGAATGAACCCCAATGGAGATGATGCGCATAAAGCGTGGGGTGGAGACAAAGAGGCTGAGGGTTTTGTGGGAACGGGGACATGAGATGTGGGGGAGCCACAGGCCCTGATGATGAGGGAGGTTTGATATGGCAAACCACAGCGGTGTGCAGGAGCATTAGGGAGAGGAAAAGCGGTTCCCTGTCCCTCTCCCTTAGGAAATGCTGTGGTTGACGAGCTCTCCCATCAGCAGCATCTGAGCCCACCAGTACTGGAAAGCGAGCCAGTACTGGTGTGCTCAGCCCTGCTCCCCCTTGCTGTGCCCCAGTTCCTGCACCCATCCAGTGCAATTGCATTGGCTCAGGAGCAGCAGCAAACACCCGGGTCTGCAGCACTTACTTGCACTTGAACTCTTGAACCAGGTCCCGGAGACAGCGCTCCTCGTTTTCCAGCCTCTCCCGCTCCCCCAGCACGCACTCCAGCTGCTTCCTCAGGTTGCTGATGAAGTTCTCGAACACGGGCTCCAGGTTCCTCCTGGAAGCCGGCAGCACATACTGCTGCAGCAGCTCCCACTTGGTGGTCAGCACCTTGTTCTGCTGCTCCAGGAGCCGGACCTGCGGAAGCAAGAGATGCAAGAGTCATGCAACAGCCTCATGTTTCAGGCAAAGTTGCTTTGGGAGTCTCCACTTCCTAAAGGGAGAAGTAGAACTAAAATCAGCAATGCAAATGGTTAAGTGTTGGTTTCTCAGCAGCCTGAGTGAGACCAGCATCCTGTGGTCCCACCCAGGACTCGTATCACAGGCTGAGCAACGCTGATCCATTTGCTCTGTGTTGAGCCCAATCATCTATTGATCAAAGCTCAGCTCAACCGAACACCACCCTGTGACAAATGGCTGGTGGAGGATCCACTGCCTCCTCTGATGGGCTGAGTACGGTAATGATCCCTGAGCAACGCTAAATGCTCCATCCAGGGTCTCATTTGAATGTATCTGATTTAAACTCTAATCATGGATATTTATCATGCCTTTCACTTCTAGATTAAAGAGCTCTCTTGTACCTGAGAACCTTTATGGATCATGAATAAGTCATTTTTCAAATGGGAGGAACAGGAGTTGCTTCTCTTACATGGGTTGGGTTTTTGCAGCTGCAGAACAGCTCTCAAGGAAGATCAAGATCAAGACAGAGCAAAGGTTTCTCTGCCATTTGAAAAACCATTTCCTATAACACATCTCCAAACAGCAATGGGCTTAGCGAAGAAAACTACAATAGATTTTAGGAAATCACCAAATAATTTCATTCACAGAGTGGAGAGACAGAGAAGTTAAAATCGTTCTCATTTTAGCTAGAAATCTTCTCATTTTAGCTAGACATCTATCCTTGTCTTCTCATTTTAGCTAGAAATCTATCCTTTTCTTCTCATTTTGGCTAGACATCCCTCCTTCTACATCCCCTTGATGAAGCACAAACTACTTTAAAAATACAAAAGTCCTTTGGAGTTTATAGAGGTGTGATAACAATGTCAGATTACACATTTGGAACGCAACTTCCTATTTTGCCTTATTACTTTTCCATGCCTCCATCCGCTTTGATTTACGATATTCCTGGAGCTGCTCCTGATTTAGCAATTTGGCAGAAGGGTGACCACCAGAAGGTAAAACACCACTGTGGTTGCCTTGGTGCAGAGCTTAAATCCAAACCATCTCCATGCCAGGACCACCGCGGTCTATCAGGAACGTTTACAGCACCAGGAGAAGTATCTCCCGTCGTTGTCTCTCTAGAGACAATCCATCCCTCTAGAGACAAAGAGCCTGCATGGAGGGAAGCGGGGTCTCACCTTGTCGATGAAGCAGGCGAACTGGTTGTTGAGGTTCTTGATCTGCTCTTTCTCATGGGTCCGCACTTGGCACTCCTCGGGGTCGACCCCCACGCACAGGGGCTTGAGGAGCTCCGGGTGGATGCTGACGCCCCGAATCCCTTCCGATCTCCCTCCGCCGATGCCGATGCCGATGCCGCTGCCGTAGCCTCCCACGGCCACGCCGTCCCCGAGACCTCTGTAGCTGCCCAGGCCCCCGTAGCTTCCGCAGTTACCAAACCCCACGACCGTGCCCATGCCAAAGCGGCCTCCGCCGTAAGCGACGTTGCAACGTCCGACGCCGGCGCCACCGTAGACCCCGCTGCGGCAGCTCCCACCAAAGGAAATCCTTTGGCCTCTGCCCAGGTCGCAGACGCTGCGGCTGCTGAAGCCCCCGATCCCGCAGCGCCGTCCCACCGGCTGGCACACGGAGGCCGTGCTGCTGTTGGCCCTGCCGAGGCCGCAGACGGCGGATGCAGAGGAAAAGCCCCTTCTTCCCAGGAGAGAGCTGGAGGTGTAGCACTGTCGACTCATGGTGGCTGGAGGAGACGGGAGGCGGAACAGTAACGGCGATGCAGAAGAGCAGGAGGAGCAGGGAGTGGAAGAAGGAGATCTCCTTTACCTCCTCTGAGGCAGAGCCCTTCTCCTTATATACATTTCAGGAGGTGCCTGGGATGCAAAAATTTAATTTATCCACTGGGTTTGGCCTGCCTGGCAGCAAGGAATGGCTTCCAACATTTTAAAGCCACAGCAAACACTTCTATCTCATACGAAATAATGTGGAAATTAAAATAAACTGCTTTGCTTGCAAGCTTCAGTTTCAGGACTTATATTTTACTTAATTAATCTGCTTCCTTATTGTGTAATTATAGTTTAGCAAAATAAGTCAAGGGGTTTTTATTCATAGCTTGTTTACGGTTCGGTTTCACCACAACGTTTAATTACGTTTCAGGACCTCCTGCAAAATGTCATGGCCATGCCGCCTCTTCCAGGGTCCCGCGCCAGCCCAGGGCTGGCTCTTGAGCAACGACTGATGGCGATAGGGGAGGAGGAAGGAGTATCTGCCCAAACACAGGCTGTTGGAAGCATTCTCGTAAGCATTTGTTTCTTCCTCTCATGGGTACGGCTCCAGCTCTCTTAGGTGCTGGTTCGTGTGTGGAGTGGGATGGGGACAGTGGTGTCCATATCAATGGATCATGAGTTTGATCTGAGGATGAGTTCAATCACGGGGGGGCTCATGAAGTTGAGGCACTGGTCCAGCCGGGTCTCATGTGCCACTTAGACAGAGTTGAGGGTAAGGCATTTCTGGGAAGCGCTTTGCTGCAGACAGAGATTTATTGCTGTGTTATGTGCCCTGGGAAGGTGATAATTGTGCTCAGCGCCTGGGTGTGATGTGACTGGCACACACGGTGCATTCACGCAAACGATAGCTGGAGATGCAACAAAGTGAAGTGTTATAGACAGGTTGAGAAATGTTAGCCGGAGTGAACCTTTTTCCTCGTATTCCTGTGACACACCTCTTTGACATGAAATGATTCTGGTAATGGCTGGTAATGAGAAGGTACCAGCCCGTCTTAATTAAAAATTCTTAAAAAGAGTTTCGAATTTGCTTGGAAACGAAAAAAAAAACTCCCTTTTTTGCCTTGAATTTGCTTGGAAATAAAGTCCCTTTTTTGCTGTAACAAAGGGGTCTAGTCACAGAATCACAAGTGATTGCATAGCTTGCCCAGAGAAGTCTTTGCATCTTTGCTGGGGCAAAATGAACTGGTTCTGGGAGGATTCCTAGTCAATGCTATTGTAAGCTTGAAATACATTGCCTGGAATTAAAAATGATGCAAAGGAATCAGGATGATTTAGAATAGTTTTTGGACTCTCTCCAGGTGAAGATCTTCCTATTTTTTTTTTTTCTACAGGTCTCATAATAGGTTTAAATTAACTATAAAATACTTTCTGCAATTCTAATCATGCAGTAGTTCCGTTGTAGCTGTGTTGGTGTGTGGGTGGGTATATTAGGATGTGCATCTTGCAATGAGATGTACTTTTGTTTGGGATATTGAGATAGTGGAGAAAGCAGACAAGCTTTTGGGCACTGCGTCCAGGTAATCCAAGCAACAGGACCCCATGCTAGTAAGTGAAAAAGGGAAAACATACGGAAATGTACTATTTTGTGCTGAAGTGTTGGTGTAAATGTTGGAGGACTATGGGGTGTGTGCTCTGTAGACAGACCTGGAGCACTGCCTGGCAGTGGGGCTAAAGCATCACTTAGCCTTTAGGTAGGTCTGTACAACGTGACGTCAATGAACTCTTTTAGGTGAGCATAACCATGGGCATGCTGTAAAGCAGGGAGAGGCCAGGCTGTCCCATCACCAGCACAAGTGGCTGTGGTGCTGCTTTCTGCTGGCTTGGTGCAGCTGTGGTGGGGCAGAGATGAGACATTGGTGATGGTGACCAGGAGCAGCCACTGCTCTGAGCTCTGGTATCCAGCAGGAGCACAGGGACAGACTCAGCTCCTTTTCATGGCAAGGAAGACGCGGCCCTTCATCCCTGAGGCTGGTGACATGCTGGTTTTTCCAGCTGTGAGAATCTGGATCTGGTTTGGGTCGGGTCCCTCCTATCCTCCATAGGAGGAGGATGACCATCCACCATAGGGTGCCTTGAGCTGCATGGGTGACACACGTACCATTTGAGGGCTAGAGACCCTCCAAGCATCCCATGTTGTTGGAAAGCAGGAAAAATGCCTCTTGTGGGACAGCTGTCCGCGTTCCTCCACCAGCTGGGAGCCCTGCGAGCCCTTCTTCTGGATGACATTCCATCAGGCTGTTTCCCTGAGGATTGAAAGCAACAAACCTGCGCTTCAACCTTCGGCTCCTCCTCGCAGCCCTAAGAAGTGGCTTCTCCCAGGTGCCCAGCCTCGCACATCAGAGGGAGACGGTTCAGGGCAGCGCTTGTGGTTTCCATCTGCTGAGCTTTCACAAAGCCGGTTCACAGTCACATGGTGGAAGCCCTGAGCGCTGGTTACATCAGCTTCAAAGGAGGAAGCACCCTGATGTGATTTGGTCTTCTGAAGAGAAGGATTGCAATCGCTTTTCTTTCATTGGGCACACACATGCACAGCACGCAAATGCCTCCTTTGCAGAGAACTTCTTCATGTCTCCGTGCTTTGTCCTGCCTGATTGCAGGACAGATAGTGTTTGAAGAGCCTAGAGAGGCTCTAACCTTCCTCTGCACAAGGAGGAGATGAAACCGCTGTTTTCAGGCTGGCGGGATTCATTAAAGCTTTAAAGGAGCAGCTTAACGCAGATTTACTGGGGAAACCCCTGAGGTCCTTGGCCCTAAATACGCCTTGAACTGTGGTGGCTTCTGTCAGAATCATGCCTTTGAGATTTACATGTACCCAGCTGCATTAGGCTAAATTAATTCTGCTTAAGCACCTTACCAAATTGGGACCTGTTAATCCATCTGTGCAGATAGGGAAAGCCCAGGGGTAGTTTTCCAACCTCCTGTTATGATTCCAGCTGTAATAACCCGGCCATCCCTGTCATCCCAGGTGGGAAACCACTGTTTAAGACCCTCTCCTGAGAACACGGGGTTGTGAGGGCTTGGCTGTGATGGGCTCTCCCTCTTTCCCTCCCTGCAGGCTGGGCAGTTTCTGTGGCTCCTTGCGAAAAGGACCATGAAGTCACCATTGAAATGGCTAATGAGGCCCCTGGGACATCTCCCTCTGGTTTCTCGGGTCCACCCCTCCAAAGGTGGCTGCTCCCAGTCTCTTAACTGCATCTTGATTCTGCTCCCACATCAAAGCAGATGGTGGATTTGTGGGGATCAGGGTAGAGATGATGGTCTGGGCATTTTCCATCACCACTGGGCACACTGATTTCTTCCCCGTAACCTTGCTCCACAGTAGCTGCTCACACTCAGTCTGACTTGTTCCTGGCCAGTTATGCTGCTTTGGGGCAAGAAGATGGACAAGATAATTCCTGAGGTTCTTTCCAGGCTGTTCCTACAGCATCAGTGGTCACTGCCCATATACACCATTTGCATTTGCAATGCTGCCAGATTAAGACCTTGCCAAAGCCTTTACCCTCCTTCTGCAGGCTTTCTGCTGGGCCATAACAACCTGTGGGTGACCAGTGTCAGTCAGGCCACCAGCGTTGATGGGAAGACGTTGGAGTATCATGGCAGTAAGCTAAGCAGAAGAGAGTATCACTCCAAAGGCGATGTCTCATGCAAGGAACACGGAGAGCTACCTACTGACCAGAGCTGGGTGTCTGCCCTGCCCTGTGGTGCCTGCTCCACGCTTGGAGCCCTGACAGCAAATCCAGGTGCTTCATTCAGGGCAACTTCGTCATATTCTGGTGTATTCACAGTTCTGATTTATCCTCTTACTTTGCAAGAGACAAATATGTTTGGCACCAAACACCTCCAGTGTCCACCCCCTCCCTTTGTAAAGCTCCTTGTTTGCATAGGAATTTGTAAAGCACTTTTGCATCATCTGACCAGCTTTGTGCTAATAGTCCGGGCCTGATTAGGGTTCTGAGTAATGGGGTGGAAATGGTATGACAGTGCCACGATGAAAGCATAACAGCCAGGACTAAGCACTGGGAATTGCCACCCAGGGCATGAGGTTTGCACTGGAAGGGTTTTCTAGGGAAAGGGGAGCAACCCTTGTATAAAGCAGCCATGAGAACCACATTGGATCTCAAAGCTGAAAGCTCTGCCGTCCTGTTTCACGGGACAGTTGTCTCTTCTCTCCTATGGTGCAGACGTTTTTAACCAGAGAGCATGTTCCTTCATGCACTAAGCCAGCCAGGGACTCCAGAGATACCCTCCAGCAACAGAGTGAGCAGAGAGAGTGTGGGTGGAGGGAAATTCAGCCCCTGAATTTCAACTAGTTCCCATCGATAGGTTTGTAAATCTCTGTCTGTGTGCGTGTATGACTGTATATAATAATGACCATAGAAAGAAGCTGTTCAGTGTCTGTGGTTAACGTCATGCAGTTAATTCTGCAAACTTGCATAAAGGTTTCTTAAAAACTAAAGGAGAGTGAAGTGGAGGCAATGCACAAACATCGCGTGCACTTTACTGGCAGCAGAGCAGCAAACACAGAGCTTTTATCAGCAACACAGTCTCTGGGTGCTGTGTTGAATTAAAAATCATTGCTCCCCAGGGACAAGGAAAAATGCTCAGTAGAGAGCAAACCCCATCACTGGCCTTGTAAAAATGACCTGGCAGGTGAGATAGCTTAAAAGAGAAAGAACACTTCTAGTGTGGGAGTCCTCTTACCTGAATTCAGTTACTCAAAAACTAGTCACCAAGTTGAAGTAAGGGGCATGGGCTGGATGAATAGTCAACGAGAGCTTGGTATCATCAAGCAAAAGCTTCTTTTCTGCAGGAGAAAGTCATCAGTGCAGGAGAAAGTCATCAGTGCAGGAGAACCCAAAGATGAGCTTTGCAGGGCTATGGGGGCATGATCCAAGAGCAGAGGTGGTATTTGTGCACAGTTACCAGCCTCAGCAAAATAGAAGGACAAATGCAACCAGGAGAGGTAACAATGCTGTGTTTATGAGCACCTATTCATTAAGCTTTCTAAATGGACACTCAGATTAAGGAGATTACAGAAGGTACATCTTCTAGAGGACGTACATATTATCCTAATGAATGGTTGG